ACAGTTTGGCGAGCCTCGGAAAGCTAACTGCCCCAACTTGGAACCGGCATAAACTAAGATGGTTTCCACAACCCCCAAACCGCTACCCCAGGGTAAATCGGGATATATACCCATTATAAAGTGTATATAGTGGATGTATATCCCATTACACCTGTAGGGGTAGTTTGGGCTCACGCCAGCATTACCGAGGTACATGAGACTCGCGACCGGCTTTTTACAAGACTTGCGACCCAACTTGTTCAGGTACATGAGACTTGCGACCCGACATCGACTGCACTTGTTTCATCTATATGATACTTGCGGCCCGACACTGTCTGGACATGTTCAGGTGCACGAGGCTTGCAACCTGACACTTGCTGCAACTTTTCAGCTACATGAGTCTTTTTCTTTTCCGGGGGGCATGATCTCTGATGCTTGAATCTTGGCTCATTTCAGGGCACGCCCCGCTCGGCACCCCTCGCATCTTATCGTACATGACTCCATACGAGCTGCGACCATCAAGTGAACCCGGCTTTGATTTGATGGAATATACTTTTCAGTGGATGTTCCGCAGAAACTGCGGCAAAGAATTTGTGGCCTCACGCTGTCAAACTACTCTCACCAGCATGATTCAGACGCAAGCAGCCCGTTCGCAAAAAAGCGCCAGGTTGTTAACGATGGCGTGAGCTAGTTTGGGGGCAGTGGAAACAATCTTAGACATAACTTATAAGTTTTAAGGGCTCAAAAACAATAAACCTGAGGACCCTTGTCCCCGAAACTCGTAGATTCTATGAGACGGTGCTCATGAGTTGCATTCCCACAGCCGCGCCCTGCGGTGTCAGTTGGGGAAAACTCGTTTGCCCTTGTTCTAGTGGCTTGGGGAACTCTCGAACATCACCTGGGCCAGACACAGACATCAGACACCCCACATACATTAACGCTTTCCTGGCTATTCGGCAAGTGTCAATGGCAATTCGCCGAGCTGCGTTGGGTAAACTGAATTGGGTGTGGCTCAAAGTTAAACAACTGGGGTTGCGCAGGTTTCAGTCTTTGGTTCCCTTTGCCAAGGTGCAAAATGCTTGGCACATTTGTTTGACCCGCAGCCAATTGATGAATGTTGGCTGCCCAAAGATTTTCACATCCCCAACTTTCCTTTTGGAGGAACTCAAGTTGGACCCGCTAGAAGGAGGGCTGAGGGCTTGCTATGCTTTTCGGGACCCGGATCAATTTCAACCAACGGAGTTCACGACGTCTGTTTTGGTTGATTTTGAGGGGAGTCCAACCCGAACTTTGCTGAATCAAGGGCAGGTCTAAGCATCAAGCCTAGCTGCATCCCGGGAAGTCTGCAGGCATCTCTCCCAAGCTTTCTGTCTTTGGTGGAGATTTGGCGAAGTTCCTTGTACCTAGAGTCTCCATGACCCCTAGACAAAAAGGGTCAAAACTCATAACTTCTTAATTTGCGCAATGATCCCATGTTTCAAAGGGTCACGGAGACTCCAGGTAGAGTTTCCGGTCGGTTTCCGCGAAAAAAATCGTCCCACGACGCCGTCCTCCGGCTCATAAGGCACCAGGACCTCCTCCCCCGAAGCCGTCGTCACGCTGAGGCTCATGGCACGACGGTCCCACGCGAAGTTCGGGGCCGTCGAAAGGCTGACAGAACCCGGCTCGCTGAAACTAGCTGGGTCCTCCAGATTTGAGAGCTTAGAAGAAGTCGGCACCATCCATTTTTTTTCTTCCGGTTTTGTCTGTTTTAGTAGGGGAACCGAATCTCCCCACCAAAAAAGAATCGGTCGAGAAGGGCACTGGGGAACCGAACCTAGGCCCTCTGAAACTGCTGGGACGGAACCCATCCCTCAGCCCGGGGAAAAGGAATCGGCATCCGATTTCTTTTTTTGGTGGGTTGAGTTTTTTTAGGAATCGGAACCCTTCCCCCCAAAGAGAGGAAGAAGGGCGGAATCCACTGGACAACTGGGAAGTAACTAGGCTCTCTGAAACTTGATCGGAGCATGTGGCCAGATTTTGGTGTTTTACCACTTGACTCAGAAATCCTCATGTTGATTGAAGCTCAGTGAGAAGCGATTGATCAACTGGCTGAATTCGACGGGAAGCAACCCACCTCATCCAGGCGTTCTTCAAGTTTTCTTCGGCTCCCGGAAGTAGAACATTTGGAACAGCTAACACCCACAGCCATGGTCTTCTTAACCTCTGCCTCTAATTATGCTTCCTCAACTGCTTTGTTGGTATTGTGTTTTTAGGCCTTGTACAACATGGCTGTTTGGCCTGGGTAACCACTATTTGCTCGACATCGGCTATTTATGTTGCTCTTCTAAGAGACTCCTGCTAGCACAGTAGCCTTGCGAGGACATGCTTTTCTGCTGGCTAATACCCTATTAGTAAACCCCTGTTTATTTATATATGGGGGTGTCCCTGGTTTTAGCGGGGATTGTTCACTTTTGGAGGGGCCCCCACCCCCTAGGTTGGTTGATTAATAGGGGGTCAAAAATAAGCGTATTATTTGTTCTTGAGAGGGCCGGTTGGCGCCTTTCTTGCCCACACAGGTCTGTTAACAGAAAAGGTTTGCCTTTGCAATTTGGGCAGGTGGCACCAACGACAAGCGGTAATGTGGGCTGGTTTGCCTGCTTCAATGTTCACACACTTCCAAAGACGACGTGACCATGGACACTTTTTGAAGTAGGACCACCATTCTTGGGCTTGAAACCATCATTGAAAGAATTGGGGGTTCGTATGTCAGCATTGGGGTTGAACCTGGTTGAGTGAATTTTGGGGTTATGTGAACCATCCATGAATCATTCTTTTGCAAGGGTTTTGCTTCAGCTGCCCAACAAGCTTGGCCCAAAGAACTCTTCTTCCCGGCGGACCCGAAGATCGGGCCGGGAATTCAGGTGACCCAAGTGGCTTGGGCTCAATGGCCAGGTTGAGAACCACAACGCAACAGCCACTAGGCGCAACTGGTCAAACATGTTGCTGTAAGTGTACTACGTATTTGACTTTGGGATCCTAAGAAGCGGCCTTGGCGTCAAGTCTCTTGAAGCCTTTGTTCCTTTCCAAAATGGAGGTCATCAACAATAGGTTGTCACGACGTATGTATTTAAGTAGGCCCTGGAAGTGTCGGGTCTGTATTAGCCGGGGACCCATGTCAGACCGATCCTCTTTTGCTTGTTGACCCCAGATTCATGCATAGGGGTGCACCCCCAAAAGCGAAATTGGATCCTCATTGAACCGAGACACCCAATTCCTTCAAGCAGGAGCCTATTCATCCTGCATTGTTACCGACTAGTCGCCACTCACCGCTCACCACTTGCCACTTGCCGCATCTCCAAATTGAACATTCCAACGATATCTTTCTCCCGTGTGGCCAAAGAACCAGAGCCAATGCTCACTGCACCATTCTTGCATGAAGAACGACCTGCAAAATGCTCAAGCCTCCAAATGAGTGTCGGGGGCTGGTTGGTAGAGAAGCCAAAATAAATCCACCAGTGAGGGTTTTACAGTAAGTTTGAAGTTGGAAAACACCGAAATAGTCCGATCTTAGGACAACATGCCACATCTAAATTCTTATCTGTAACAGTGCTGTCACCTCTTGGTTGGCCTCAAAAGGAAACAACAGTGCTACATTCACCCGCTTAGCTTTGAATGCCTGTGTGCATGTACGTGTATAAGCAAGCAGTTTGCCATAGTAACCCAACCCCCCAACCCCCCCCCCCCCCGCCATAACATGAGGGTGTCGCAAAAGCTGCCTAAAATTAACGCTTGTTTACCAACCTTTGGACAAACAAACAAGCGGGGATACGGAGGGAGCGGGGATATGGAGCATTTTGGGGCATTTTCTTGGTGCAGTTTCCCATATCAAAATCTTATTCAAGGTGTATTTAAGGGGAATCTGGTTCCCCCTGTATCCCTGCTAGTTGGTTTCCCTGAAACCCACCTTTTCAAGAGCAACCCCCCGCCATAACATGAGGGTGTCACAAAAGCTGCCTAAAATTAACGCTTGTTTACCAACCTTTGGACAAACAAACAAGCGGGGATACGGAGGGAGCGGGGATATGGGGGCATTTTCTTGGCGCAGTTTCCCATATCAAAATCTTATTCAAGGTGTATTTAAGGGGAATCTGGTTCGCCCTGTATCCCTGCTAGTTGGTTTCCCTGAAACCCACCTGGTCAAGAGCAACCCCCCCGCCATAACATGAGGGTGTCACAAAAGCTGCCTAAACAAATACGCCCTTGTTTACCCGCCTTTTCAAGAGCCAGCCAGAAGTGGTTTCCTTCAATTTTCCCCGTGGAGGTCCGAAGTTTCGGCCCGCCGAAACTCCGAAACTCCCCGGCCTGCAGCCGAATGCATCGCAGGCCATGGGCTGTTTCACAAGAGCTCAGCGTCAAGATGGGTGGCTTTCTTTTGAAGAAACCCGAAGAACCAGAAGCAGCAAAATAATATGTTAAAGAACCAAAAGAATACGAGCCTTTTAAAGAACCGAACACTTGCCTTCAAAACGAACCACAAGGAGTTTTCAGGCTCACAACCAAAAAAACACCAACCAGCACCCTCCGACTACTGCCCAGGGAGCAATAGATAGAATTTTGAAAAAAAAAAACGTACATAGAAAACCTGCTAATAATTACTTTGTTTGCGGGATGCCCATATTCTAACTACTGCTATCTACTGCTTGCAATTTCCCTTCGGTCGACCTCCGCGCCTGCGTTCCTCTCGCCCGAAACATCCGCGACAAAAAAATCACCCAACCGCTTTGAGCCGAGCTTCGGCCGAGGTCGGGGCGAAGCGCATCGCTGGAAGAGGTAACGGGATGGCTCACTAGTCTTTCTTGGTTAGTTTTAAAGTGAAACCAACGGGAAAAATCCAGATCACCAACCCAAGATTTGCTTAAGCCCCCTGGAAAAAAAGCAGTAGTGATAGTTTCCCTTTAAAACCAAAAGGGGAAAATGTAAAATATTCTTAAGCAAATGGGGAAAAGGAACCCTGGGCTTGGGGGCCCTAGCGTCCCGTCCTGTCCGCATGGCTGCAGCTTCTCTGGCAGAATCCGGTGCCTCAGTCTGAACCGATCCACCGGTGGCTGCTTGTTGGGAGTGAAACAAATATGGGTTCCACTTGGTTGACGTTGGAAGGGGAGCAACAATTGAAAAAACAAAAAAGCAGCCAAGTGGGGAGTTCAACCGCTAAACCACAATAAGCAAAAATGCAAAATGTGTCCCGACAACAACCATGCTCCCTTCCCCCTTTAGTTTCTTTCCTCTTGGGACAAACATCGGCTGGACAAATCGAACCGAAAACCACCTCTGGTGGGTTCTTGTTGGGAGTGGTTTCCTCTTGGGACAAAGTGAAGATTATGGTCAAACAAATGTTGCACCCCCTTTAGCAGCCATGTGCTGCAATTCTCTGGGAATGACTGGAAGGTTCTTTATTCGTGTACATATATCTATATAAAGATACATACGTGTATTCCTTGCAAGTTTCACGGTCCGTGGTGCCCTTTCTGTAGATAGAAACAGTGGAAACCAAGAATGACCCATCAGCCGCATATCTGGTGCGACTTTAGTCGGGGGTCGGGGTTCAATCATCTCCTTCGAAAACAGACTCCCAACACTGATGATGAACACCTAGCAGGCTGCCTTAGGAATTGGATGGCACCCCTGCAATGCGCTTTTCAGTGCCTCGCCGGTTCACAAGGAAAAGAGGTCACCGGGTATTCGCTTCGGACGATTGTTCTATTTTTCCTCTGCATGCTTTGGTGTGGATGCTTCATGCTTTGGGCGTGGGCCTTGAGAAAATTTGACGGGCAACGCAAGCAGACTTCGCACGTCGTCTGTGGAGGGCGCGGGAGCCTTGAAGCCCGACACAGCAGCGATTGGAACGGCATTCGATGGAATCGGAGGTGGAACTCACTGATCTGGGAGTAGCGGAAAGAACAAAGGAAAACAACACATGTGCTTCTCAAAATAGGGGAACCCCAAATTAGACGTGTCCTTTGGATTCCCCGAAAAAACCCACCAAGGAGTTCCACGAGCTCGAGAAACCTGCATGGGCCTGGTGGATTCCAAAGTTTCACGTCTTTGCGGAAAGCGAGTACAGGAGTCGAGCCTACGGCTTTAAGCAAGTGCCTCATTGCGTGCCCTTTTTGGACAGTACTCTCCTGTTAGTGGCAGAGGAAAACCACTCAAATTTCAGGGTTCGCTCATATTGGGTGCGTGCCTCAGCAATCATTGATGCCGATTGTGTTTTCCCCTTTTGGAGAAACTAGCTCTTGTTGGCTCGTTTAATTCCCATGAGCTCACTGGACAAGCGCCGCGGCACGTCACTCGAGCACCATCGCCATCCAGTCGCAAGAGCCATCGCGGAGGGTCCACAGTCTTGTCCTGCCGCTGAAAAGAATATTCAGGGCGGTTGACAGTTTGTTCGCTTCTCTCAGTTGTTGAGTGACCCTGGGAAAAGGGAACCCTTTTTGGGGAAGACCATTTTTAGTGGGGCAGCCACCAAAAAGATGGAAAAGGACGCCACTGAACAACTGAGGTTTAGTTTCACGTTCGCAAAAAATGAAAAGATGTGACACAATGAACATGGACCAGAGTTTGATGAGAAAGGAGGATTTCCCAATGGCCCGTGCAGGGTTGTAAGGTTTTCAGAATCACTCAAAACGAAAGAAAAGATGTGAAACATTGCCAGTTTGTTTGCTTCTAGCTTCACGTTCCCTAACAGTTGAACGACTTGTTTGTTGTCCCAGCCAAAGATAAATTTGTGAGAGGCTCTTGGCAGGGTATGATCCAGAAAAGGAGAAACTTCGTGTTTCTCCAGATGAGGTTCACGCGCCTTTGCTTGGCGTCCTTGTTGGGGTTGCTCCGGCCAGGTTGTTTGGGGAGCCATGTGTGGAGTCTCGTCCCTATGGGCCATCTCTCTTGAAAATTTCCCAAGGCAAGCAGAAGGCCAGCTGGATAGATGTGCTTAATAGCAAACTGAAACCAGTGAAATCACTCAATGCTCAGCAACAACGCCACCAAGGTCCCTGATCTCTGAAGGCAAACCCATGCAAACATCACTCCGTGGCTGAGCGGATTGGACCTAATTAAACTGTTTGTTCACTGCCGAGATGACCTTCCCAAATTGTGTAGAACGTCCAGAACTTGGAAAGTGAGACTACCAGCACTACTTGCGCGCGTGTTTGTGAGACTTTGTGAGAGTACAGGAATGGACAGCCCCACCAATTCTGGGCGTCCCTCATTGAAGTGCCAAAATAGGGGTACCCCCAAAATTGCGATGCCACTTTTGGCTTGGTTTCCCTGTCAAACTATCATATTAAATAATCCCTCAAACGGCACTGGATTTCCCCGAAACAAACGTTGCAATCTACTGGTGGTTTCCATTGAAATTGTCACTTTTCGGGGTTCAAACAAGGGGCATGGAGGAAACCCTGCAGATGGAGGGTCTAACTTTTTGAGGGTGCCCTTTTTGCTTGCAGGCAACCAACCTCTTCTTTTTTCCCGGGGGGGGGGAAAAGAGACGAGCCACCTATTTGGGGGTTGATCAAAAGGTCCTTTACATAGGATGACGGTGGGGGAACCGCGAAAAAGATATAATATTTCAACCACTAAATGGAAAAACAACACCCTGGTGATTTGGGGCCGAAGGGAATACTGATCACCCCCATTCAGAGACGGGCAACCACAAACCAATCATTTTGGGGGCCCCCGGCAGAGGGAATATTGATCAACCGGCAAAATAAGCGCAGTTGTTATTCGCAACAGCCCCGTCAAGAAAAAGCCGGGAACATCGATCAACCGGCGACCAACCATTTTTGGGGGACCCCTCCAAACAAAAGCCTAACCCCCAAAATAAGCTCAGGTGGTATCCGCAACAGCCCCTTCAAGAAAAAATGACGAGCCGCCTCCCACAATGCTTGGCTTTACACGGAAACCAACAGGCAACCAGGGCAACCCACCATTTCTTGGGCCCTCCAAAAAGAGACGAGCTTGGGGGTCGATCCAGAAGATCCTTTACATAGGATGGAGGGCCCCGGAACTGGAACCCTCCTATTGAGCCCTCAGCTGCCCCACACCAGATCCCTCGAGCCTGGGCCAGGGTTCCGCGAGAAAAAAACAAAAAAAACACCGCCCACCGTCCGAATCCATGTTGACCACAGGTGCCGACCTGGCCCCCCGGGACCAGGTAGCTTCAAAAAAAATTGCCTTCCGCGCCCCCCTCCCCCCCCCAAAAAAGAAGAATGGCTGCCGCAAAACCCGGCCTTCCGCCTCCCCCCCTCCCCCGAAGAAAAACAAAAAGACGAGCCACCCACCATTTCTTGGGCCCCCCAAGACGAGACGAGCCGCCGATTTGGAAATTGATCAACAGACGAGCCATGCGTGGCTTAGGGAAACCAAAAGAGAAAACCGGCCACAGGGCGCCCCCCCCCCCCCCAAAATAAAGGCTTCCGCAAACCCCCCCCCCCCCCCCCCCCCCCCAAACAAAAGAAGAAGAAGAAGCATGACCAACTTGGATTTCTTCCCCCCCCAAAAAAAAGAAGAAAAAATACAAAAGAACAAACAGGAAAAACAAAAAAAACAGGCCACGCCCCGTTCGAGACTTCCGCAGCAGCCGCTCCCCTCCGCTCCAGCCGCAGCAGCCGGCCCTTGCGCCCGTTGAACTCCGCGGCGGCCAGGCCCACCAGCCGCGCCCGGCGCCCGGCGCGGAGCTCCTGCGGCGTTGGTGGGGAGCGGTGGGTTTTTCGGAAGGGCAGAAAGGAAAACCGAAAAGGAAGCAGTTTATATATATATATATATCTTGCTTTTTGAGGCCCCCAGGAAGTAGTTTTTAGAAGGATCTCTCTTTTTTTGAGGGACCCCCCGCTTTGTGGCTGAAGGAAAACAAAGGACACGTGGTGCGCCATTTAGAAAAGACACAGCCCCCATCAATCAATTGTCAGCCCCCCGGACAGGCTTAAAAAAGGGCTCTCAAAAAGAGTCGCCGCTGTTAGGCCCGAATAGGACGCCGTTAATTCGGCTCTATTGGGCTTGGCAACCATAGGATTAATTGAAACCCATTCCCATCACCCCACAAGCATGCGACCCCTCTAAAACAAAACGCTACATATCCCCTGCCACGGATACTTTTCTTTGCACCCGCAAAGGGGAAATGTACGGGGAAGGGTATGCTCGCCAAACATTACATAGGGGGTGGGGATAGTGATATTTAGAAACCTGCCCTAAGGCTCTCGATTGGTTGGGCTGAGATGGAGGGGTCCTGAGCCGAAGGTGGTAGGGGAAGCAAACAAAACCCTTCAGCTCTTCTAGAGCACCCTTTCCCATTAAACAAGAACCCCTACGGTGGATGGACGAAACGCATTTGCACCACCGTTCAGAAACCCTGGTCTATGATTCCATTTCCCTGTACATACCAACCAACAACGGTTTCAGCCATGGTTTCAAAGTGGTACAGGATTTCGCCCATCCACGGTATGGAGAAATCAGCCATTAGTCATGGCCTGATTACCCTCAACCTGTGGGCCATTTCCAGCCCATTGCGCTGCCTTAGTCGAAGCACCCTGATCCACCCTGTGAGCCGCCGCGAGGTTTTGCAATGCTAGCTCCTTCTAAAAGGGGAAGGGAACGAGCCCTGGAAACAGAGTATCTGGAACAGCATGCCCACCCCTTGAATAACATGAGAATAACATGAGAACAACACGAGAAAACATGGAATAACATGAGAACACATGGAATAACATGAGAAAGCATGGAATATCATGAGAACACATGGAATAACATGAGAAAGCATGGAATATCATGAGAAAACATGGAACAACATGACCACCCCCTGGTGGTTGGCCAAAATCAAGGATGTCACTAGGCACGCACGCGTCCGAACACGGGGCGCGTTTGTCAGTGGAAAGCAATACCAGGTGTTGTCGTAAATGGGATAGGCGCAACACCATTCGTGCTGTAAATAGAAAGGACTTGCGCATGAAAACTATGAAAACTGGTGGTCCCTCGTAATTGAACCCATTCGTACCCTTCAAAGCGCAATGTGGGTGATTGAGGCAACATCAAGATAATTTTCGAAGAAACCTTCCTGGGGTGAAATCGGTCCCCAAGTAGAACGGTTGGAGGTCGCGATTTTATCTGCCCATTGCAGTGCGGCAAGGAGTCCCAATCGTTTCTAGTGCGAGGTGAGGTCGCCATTCTGTGCAATCGCAAAGGTGTGCACGCAAAAAAATAAATAAATAAAAATCAAAAAAAATCTTAAGCAAATGGAAGGGTTTGTTTCCGAGTTGGTCCGCTCGCTCCAGTCCTGCGTCGCCGCTTCAGGGTCCATGGTGCATCGCGACCAGAATGCAGGAACGCCAAGGCTCAAACCATGTTTTTTTCTTTTTTTTTAAATATTATATATATATTTTCAAAATTGTTCCCTTACATATTATTATTCTCATCTTTATCAAACATAGTATATATATATTTTAAAACGAGCCAACACGAACTTGGTCTCTCTAGGTCCTCCAGTAGAGAGGTTAGAATAAGGGTACCAACTTTCGTCTGTAGTCTATTTTAGTAGGGGAACCCTCCCCCAAAAAAGGGTAAAAGGGCACTACTGGGGGACCAAGTTCTGTAACGAGCCCTCTGCAACAAGTGTTTAACTTCTTGATTTTTCCTAAGTGCAAAGATCCACCAACTAGCCATACAGATCAATACCAAGGGAACCATAAACTATACTTAATCACAGACAGACCAAGTCTATACCAATACTTGTCTACTACTAAACCAATAGAGAAAACGTAGCTCTAAGCAATAACTGAGGCAGTACAAATGAATACTAAATCAATCCTACACCAATACTGAAAAGCATTTGCTGGAAGACACCATGTGTTTCCTGTCTTCATCTATGGACGCCCCTGAGTGTTTGCGCGGGGCATTGTTTGATCACTACCCAACATCACAAACAATCTGCAACCTTGGACATTGGCATGTACATGTGTTGAAATATATATATATATATACACATAATATGTACATACAAAGAGGGGTGTGTGTGTATGTATAATAAATGCCATATTTGAAGCCCGGCCATTGCTGCGTCCATTGCCAAGCTTCCCTGACCACTTTTGCGCACCAGCGCCTTTTTGCGAGCAAAGCGATGCACCTTGGAACCTCAACACGTGACTCAACCCCAAGGCCCGGGTTTAACCAAATGCTCTTCGTTTTCCGCCAAAAAGTCGTTTCGGTTTTCGTTTCCGTCTCACCCAAAGGGCCCCAGATGCTTTGTTCTCACCCAAAAGCAACCAAATGGTCTTCTTGTTTCCTGTTCGTTTCCTTTAACACGAACCCAAAAAGGGTACCTGCCAAAAAACACGCACACGTACAAATTCAGAAGCCGCAGTTCATCCACATCAGTACAATGTTGCGCCCATTCGACATGCAAAGGCTGAGCAACGTGCGCAGGCCTGACACCAATACTGAGAGAAGCCTGTCAAGGTCAGTACCTCATTGCAAAAAAGCTTCCCCGAGTCATTCAAGCGGTCCACCATCCCGGACTGGGGCGATTCAAAATGGAAATGGAACAAAAGTACTCAAAGAGCGAGAAGGGGAGATTCGGGAGGAAACTGCAAACGCATCTAAGCCATTTTCTAGACTGAAGGGATGGGGAACCTAACCACCTGACCCGAAACCATAGCCCATCAGGGCTAAGAACTGCAGCAAGCCTTTTAGGTCACTGGCCCAGTACCAGCTGCCAAAGCCCCGGGCAGCAAAGGGTTTTCCTTTTTGGATTGACCATGTCCTTGCAGAAATCCTGGTAGCTCCGCAAGGCTCCCTCAAGGCACATTTGGATATCCCTGGCTCCGCAATGGCTCAACCACTAGCTAGTCGAAACAAACATACTGCACATTTCACTCTAACTCTGAAAGCTGAATTGAGGGATCTTCGAGTAAAGGACCTTTATCATGGTCGGTGAGCTTGCTACAAAATAGGCAGACACATGTACACATGAATAATCCCCCCTAGCTTGAGGGAAAAAGGGGGGTGGGGGGTCCCACAATTCCATCCATTCAGTCTTCCCTACAGGCAAAATGGATCCCTAAAAGCAGATCTCCAGGGGTCGACATCCTCATCCAGCCCCGGCTCCGACGGCGCTTGGGCCTGATGCCAGGGAATAACCCTCCCGGTCATGCAGCACCCGATCGCTGGGCCGGCGTCCAATCCTAGCGACTCAAGACCCAGAACTTCCCCACGAAAAACAACGCGGGACATGGGTTGTAGTGTCCCAAGACCAATATTTTGTTCAGGGGACAACACATGACACGCGCTTTGGGTTGTGTCCCAAGTTCGTGGACACGAATGATGTGCTTCTGTTGGTTGAACACGTCGTGTCTCGGGACACACGGGGCGCTTTTGTGGCTGCAACGGAACGCAAAGAAACACGCGGCTCAGCTCAGCTCGGGCTGGCGCTGGCCACTTCCACATGAAACAAAACAGATGCAACATATGGCTGTGGCTCAAAAAACAATTTTGAGCCACACCCATATACGGAGTCCGTCGCCAAATAGCTTCGAAGGGAAACCAACATTGGAGTCCAAGCACCTGCAATTGCTGAGCCCCAACTTGCGCACAAAAGCACCAGTTGAGTTTTGGCTCCAACATGGCAATATATATATATATATGTATCGATCCAGGCCACACTACGATACTAGAGTGGAACAGTGGAACCTTGCAGGGAGTTTGGTTCTGCAAGGACTATGTGTGCATAGGTTTCTGTAGGTCTTGCTTAATCCGCATGAATCCAAGTATGTTTTTGTTTGATTGTTCTAGGGATACCTACCCCATTCTTTCCAGGGATCCTTCTTTCTAGAAAACCTCCGGAAACCCAGGGAAAGCGGCTGGTTTTTGGAAAGAACGATGGTTAAACAGAATAGGGAATCAACCCCTAGAATTGTTTTTGATAAAACGAACATACTGACAGATAGAGGCAAATTCAGAGCCATAGCAAAGGCAGCCAAGAGAGGGGTCAAGAGAGGGGTTGATAGACAACAATAGTCTCCACTAGGAGGTTTGGTTCCTGATATGCCTGTGGTTGGCAAAAATAGTTGGTAACCCCAACATGGAACCCTGGTAAATGGAAACATGGACTAACACCTGCGGTCCCCTGGTGGCTGAAATTTTGACCCATACGTACCCATATGGCTCCAAATCAGCAAACCAACAAGCACTTCAGGAGGGCGCCGCTTGCCGTGGGCTGTGCGGGTCCAACTGACCCTGCAAGACGCGAAACACAGTTTGATACTTAGTGAGGAAGCTGCCATGTTCCAAACGGTTTACGCCCACCTTAGCTATTGAAGACTAACACTGATATGCTTGACCCTCGGTCCATATTTAGTCAACCTTAAAATGCAAGACATATAAACATACTATCACAAGGAATTCCCAAAGGTCAAAAGTCATAAGGGGAATCTGTGTCTGGATCCCAACAGCGGCCGCACACTTCATTGAACCTTGCCCCTTGTCAATTACCACGCTGGTTTCTTCCCTCAAAACGGAAAACAAATGGATCCAATATCCTACCCATGTCACGCGGTCTCATCGCTTTGAGCTTAGGAGCAACCCTGGCGGATCCACACACTTCCGTCGCAATCCCAAGGGCCGACTATCACATATATCAAACGACTGCTGGATTCATCTGGGCCGAAAGAATAACGGAGTTTCGCTGCAAGCACAGGAAAATACAGGACGGGGGCTGACCCCCGTTCTGATTCATCCACAGGGCTGTGTTCAAGTGATCATCATCCAATGTCACCAATTGGTAGCAGGATCCATTGTGTGTTGTAAGCTTAGTAACGTCCATCACTTTGAGGTAACACTTGATCAAACTTGAGCCCCGAATCGAGGATCAAAATCTGTCTTGCCACCAGCATTTAGCTACAAAGCAAAGAAGTGAGATGTTATGAAACAAGGTGGCTACTTAGACATCGGCACTAGGGTAGACATTTGGCCCCTCCGAAAGTAGTCCAGGCACACTCATGCAAGATGGCACTTTCACTTACGAGGAGTTCGCGGAAGTGGCTCAAGTTGGTGTCTTTGTTGAGGTTCCCCGCCTATCTCGGAGACAAGGATGAACATTATCTTTCTTGGTACAGGGAAAGTCCGCGGAACATGCACCGCGCTTCCGCCATAGTCTTCCATTTGCAATTATTGCCCCCCGGAAAACAAATGAAGATATTTCCATATACTTAGAAACGAACAAGGGAAAAAACAACACATTCTTAAGCACATGAACTTACTTCCTGAGCAGATTGGCCAAACAACAAATTACCCAAACTTCTGTTTTACCCCTAAACGGTCCAGACTCCAAAACACGACTAAAGTCCATGAACTCAGGGAGTGAGTAACAACCACTAATACAAATCATTAACCAAACGAGCCGAAAAAGGGACACCTATGATTGTAAAGAATAGGGCAACGATGGGTAACCCCCAAATGAGTTGCCCTAAACTTCTAGGGGTTGATTCCCCATTCTTTGCAACCATCGTTGTTTTTTTCTCCAAAAACCGGCCGTTTTCCCTGGGTTTTCGGAGGTGTTCTAGAAAAAATAGATTCGGATCCCTGGGTTTAGACTGGAGTTGGAAGTAACAAGTAAGCCCTAGAAAGTTGGTTAAAAACAAAGAACTCAATGGTTGCCAAGGACTCATGGATGGTTACCACTGGCTGAGTGGATGGCCCAAAAAAAGTCCAAGCTTTTTCTGTACCACTAAAATGGTCCTCCCAAAAAGTTTAAAGATCATGAACTCAGGAAGTGAGACACTAAATATGAGTTGCCCTTTCTTGGGTCGACAAGGACGGCGCCAAACACCAAGGTCCAAACCTGGCCGCGCGGTTGCGCTGCGCTTGCGCTTCGCTTCGGGAGTCTTTGGAGCCAAGAGGCTCGGCCACCAGCAGCTCCGTCATCATGCGGTGCCCGGAGCCTTCGAGAGGCGGGGGCGGTTTGGGGCGGGGGGAGGGGTGGGCTGGATAGGGTGGGAACGGGGAACGGGGGGAGAAGGTTTTGGGGGGAAGGGTGGGGAAGGTTGGTGGAAGAGTTGAAGAGTTTGGGGGTTTTGGGGTTTGGGGTAACAAAGAACCTTACCCTCCCTCTCATGGAACCCTGGTAAAGAGTGGCTAAGAATCCCACCTCACCACGGCAAACCCCGAGAAATAACCGCAGAAGGCGCTGGCGCGTGACTCTCTCACGCCAGAAACCAAGCGCACCCCGAAACCGAAAACCAACAAGTATGCTGTTAGCAGTCATGGAAGCTGACTCCAGAAGTCTTTTGAAGAAACGTTCGGAGCTGG